GGGACTCACCTTACATTTGAATATCTTTTAGCAACATTTCAAGGACACCTCTTGCTAAATGGTATTCGCAAAACCTATCTCAATAATTACCACTTACAACATTTCAGTAGAAAAAAATGTACTCAGACTAGCTGATCGATTGTAATTTTTTCGCCTACATTTAACATGCATCTTCACAAACACTTATTCTAAAGCCAATTTTCTGCCTTTTTTAATTATCTTACACTGTCTGCTTTACAATATCTCACGTGCATACATAGGCACAATCCTTGAACGTGGAGGCGGTAGCCAGAGTTCACTTTATCAATAGCTCTATACAGGTGGGGTAGGGAAACACCGTAGCAAAAATTTTACAGGCACCTCACGTTTAATGCCACTTCAATTGTTAAAAGCCTTTCTGCAAACATGCGAATGGAGTAGTTACCGAAAACAGACGTCAATTTCAGCCCTACCTTTTGGGATCATCACCTATTCTCCAGATAGGAAGTAAAACCGTATAGACTGAGGGTTTTTTATTGTTAATCGAGCACCACATTGTCAAAAAAATTCCTTATTGATTCTTATGTATCTACTTGAAATCCCAAAAGTCATGCCCAGTTCAGGAAGGAGTAGGCCGTTACGGGATTTATTCAAATACATCTCAGGTTTCACAATAATCAAATTACTTGTATTTGTTAAAATAAACTTAAAACTATGAGATCTGTTGCGTTATCTGTCAATCGGTCATTGAATTAGCCTGTCGATGTGGTGCATACAGGGACATCCGAATTCGAAATCTGCCATATGTCCTGTAATAGCCGCGTTGGAGATGAGACTTTTAACTTTATAATGTTAGGTGTGTGCTGTATGCTAATGAAATAGAGTAATAATGCTTTTAAAGCAGGCTGTTAAGACATTTTTGCATATGCATTTGCAAAGTTAAATTTCCTTGCCATATTTTAGCAACATGACTGTAAATGCCACGAAGTGCATTATATTAAATGGACTTGAACTTGACGATGGTACTTCAAGTGTCTGAAGCAGACTGGACAAAAAAATGACATGATGCCTTACGCAGAAGCAGAGACTAAAAGTAGTGAACTGCTTTCTTGAAGTTGGCTTTCCCTTCGCGAAGAGGTGTTTGATCTCTGACTGGCAATCATGCCGTTGGTGAGGCGCACTCAAGCGGCCAGATTCGGCTGCAATATCATCTTGAGAAAAGATGCAATTACATCTGCCTCTTAAGCGTTTACTTTGCTACAGTACTTATAATGTTCGAGAAACTCTTGCATAAGGCTAAAATACTTGACTTTCTTGTACTAGATATCAATGTATCAGCTTCCTCAGTGAAGAATTGTTTTAATGGAAGTGACGAAACAGTTTGTATTTGCATCAAATGAGTAGGAAGAAAATGTCCATTTAGACCTTAGGCAAACGTCGCCTCATGCAGATGTTGCCATTTCGTTTTGCTGCCGCGTCTTCTCCGAACGTATTGCAACGAATCTTAAAAATATTAAGAGTGGGTTTCAATGGGTAAGAAAGTTAGGTAAAGTAGGACAAATAGACTTTACACGTTCTTAAGAGTAGTAGCAAGTCACTTCAATGTGTTATGCAAGCTACGTGAAGGAAACTAAAGCACTTTATCCCTTCTTAACCTTTCATGCTCAGTTTATTTGATAACAAAATCATTTGTTTTTTTTTGTTTCAAAGGCTTTTAAGAAGGTTTTGCATCAAATAATGCTTCCAATCATAAATCAGGCATTATTTTATCACAACCAATAAAATACAGCTCCCTCGGCCTCTCACTCATGATATTCGATAAAATGGTTTTTATGGAAAATACAGTAATGACAACGCTCATATGCCCTTTATCACAATAGCAAACGCTTTTGGACCTAAATGTATACATTAGTTGTGAGCAGTTTGTGAATTTATTTTACAATACAGGGAATAAAATGCTGATTTGGTACAGTTTGTCTTTAAGCTCCTTTGATTCGACATCTTCTACCTCCATGTCTTAACAGTATAGATTGGTAAGCAAAGATATAGGCCTCCTAAGCACTATAAGTAAAATTTCGGCAACGAGAATCGCTGTTGTCCCATCACCAAGGCCTGACATCGGACCACTTTTCTCAAAATTTCGGAAAATAGTTGTACAGATAATAACTATTTGTTTAGCACTTGTCAAAGGACCTGCAGATTTTGCTAAAAGCCAGTGTCCTTTAAAAGTAACTGCAATACAGTGCGTTCCATCGCATGAATCAAAAGGAGCCTTAGACTCAACATGTGTACAGCCATTTCTGCCACAGTATACGCACCACTGCTATGTTTCAAAGGATTCTAAATGTCGCCTATCTCACTATGTTTCCACTTTATGTAGGAAGTGTTCACAAATGAATGTAGACTAAATACCTCAAAGTTGTCCCTCTTAGAATTTAGTGACTGAAATGGCCATTCAAATGCATCGATTTGTCTGCGCAGCTACTCAGAAATTAGTGGGTATCACTTTGACTTGTTAGATCGAAATTGTAGATCACAGTCCATTTACATCATTCTGTGTTTTCCCTATAGATCCTACGAATTACCTCTTTCGGTAACAGTATTGCAGTAGGCGCGGAGGCGATTTTAAAAGAGACTAAAGCAGCCATCACGAAAAAATTTCCTGCACACTGCAGAACAGACACACGCATATCTTCCCCGGGGCTGTAGCAAGTGTCCGATTGCTAAAGTAGGGGACCTATTTGCTCTGATCTATTTTAAGCAAGCATAATCCACAAGGTCGTGAAAAGAAAAAGAGGGCTTTTATTTCACTTCTCAAAGGAGATGATAACAGGCAAGTAATGGTATTTGCGCCTATGCACTGAGAAGGAGGTCAAAATTTGTGGAAGATTAATGAGCTGAAGAATGAGAAGCTTTGACTTGCAGAAAGTCAAACGTAGAAGAAACAGTAAGAAATATGGTAGTGAGGTCGGTGTATGTCCCGGTGGTAGAGAGCATGAGAGGTGATGTGTAGATGGTGAGTGGCGCGGACCATGGCATATTCGAGTGCCCAGCAGTCATTATGGCATGGATACTTTTGGTAAGGCAAGTGAATTTTCAAAATGAAAGAAATGTGGCCTTGCTGAGTGATTCATTGCTTTGTTTACCAGAGCTCACTGTTGACTACCCGAACATTTATACTGACTTCTATCTGGTGTTGGTGATTCTCTGAATAGGAGATTAGGGTTAGACATTGCCTCACGCCTCAAAATCTACTTCAGTGTTCATCGACTAGCACACGCCATCACGACTCCTCATACTGATGACGATGCTGGGCTTTTATTTAAATATATAGGAATTTGGAATAAGTTTGCGGGAAGGAATGCTCATATCAGCAGAATGTTGGTAGAAAAAATCCGTTGTGACTGTAGCGCACGTCATGCATGATTGTCGTCTACTATATCGCTTATTTATACGCAAGGATAGGCAAACGCTTCAGACCCAGCAAGTTGTACCTTCTGTCAAGGGAATAGACAGAGAATCATGCGCACACTTTCTCATCCCATCTACACTTCTACAAATTCATCTTTAATTCTAGTATTGCTACTTTAAGAAAGTCCTGGAGAGATTGGCGATGGATGGAGCTATATTTTGTTTTGCAAGCGAGCCTGATCCAAAAACACCTGTACTAATTTGTTCGGTTCATAATAGTGCTCATGTAGCATCAAAGATTGTATCTCCTATGGCAAGATAATTGTGCGGAGAAAGCGGATGGGCTAGGCGAATACCTAGCATTATGCAGGAGAGCGATTGTCAGATCCAGTGAGAATAGGATTGAACGATTAGAGAGAAACCTATAAGAAAATGCTGGCACAAAAATAACCGATGATTTATACATGAATTTTTAGTGCTGACTTTTGCTTCTTTGTATATGCCTTTGCGAACAGCCGTTTGTTCAAAGTGGATGCTATGAACAAACCCATGACTTTCTCTATGGAGGTCAAGACCCCTACGTAGGAAAGACTACAATGTCTTACTTGTTCCAATACACTTGGCACTCTAGACATAGAGTAACATTGGTTCTTGCCAAAAGTGTCAAATTTTTAGGCTCCAGCTGGATTGACTTTACACATGGGATGCATTAGACGCCAAATTTTCTTGACAGAGCATCAAAGTCTTAGTTGTACTGTCAGTAGATTTGGATTTTGTCGCAAGAGCATCAATCTACACTCCTCAGGGAATTCGTCAAAGTTGTGCATATATCCGAGTTACAGCTATAATTAGTACGCAGACCGTACGAGGCGTTTGCATGAATCACTTGTCTGCTGCTAGGGACTATTTACTTGGTCATTACGTGGTGGCCTACCAAAAGGCGCCCTTTATGTTTGATCCAACAGCACTGCGTTCGGTTTTGGCATTAAAAGCTGCGCATGGAGTAATCTGCGTCCCACAATTCATTTGCGAAAATCTATCAGTCTTTATGCGATATTCGCCCATGACAGATATATGGTGCCCCCAATGCCTCCAAAAAGGGACAGTATTCTAACATTTTCTGCAGTAGAGTAAGAGTGCGGAAGAAGGAAAGACGCCGTTTTCGGTGCTAGTTTTTGCATTTCTTTATACATTTATTTGTTTGTTCATACACTCATCGATGCATTGTTTCCATCTATCCATCCACCCTACTCTGCGTTTATTCCATCACATCAAATTGCGTGTCCAAATAGTCACAGTTCTTCCTCTATTCTTCAGTCTCTCTTCACATGGAGGCGTTATGCTGCCGCAGTCATTCTTCTGCTCCCAAATGTGTCCTTTTCCTTGAATT